AGGAGCCAACAGGAAGGGAAGAGCCCTGGTTGGTCACATACCTTTCCCCAACGGTGGGAGAGGGTTATAGTGGTGGCGTGCTCTTTTAGTGAAATTAAGAATTTATTGGCAGGGAGGGGGAAATGCGGAGGGGGGGGGCAGGACGGGGGGGGGGGGGGGGAGGGAGAACTGTGGTTGGAATGTAAAATGAAATAAAAAAATAGAAAAAATAAAAAAATACAACTTCATTGGAATTTTCTCATTTAGTATTTGCTTTTTAGAAGAGTGAGGACATGAAGACTTATTTATTGCTTTCAATATATTTGAGACATGAAGCCAGTATATCAATAAAGGTTTAAATTATTATTATTTATTTATTTATTTTAGATAGGCAGTCTCACTGTGTATTCCTGCTGGCCTGGAACTTACTCTGTAGACCAGGTTGGCTTCAGACTCACAGAGATCCGAGTGCCTCTGCCTCCCCAGTGCTGGGATTAAATGCATGCATTACCATGCCTGGGTTACTCCTTTGTTTTTTTCTAAAAGAGTATTTTCTAGCCTTCTCTGAGAATACTAGAGATAATATGCCCATTTCTAAGGCTAACCACAGACTCTTTCTTTCACAGGTAGACTGTGTATGGATTTCCCAAAGGGTAGGTATTTACATCTGTGTGTGGATATGTGTGTTCAGGACAGACGTCGAGGTTGAGCATCTTACTGGAATGGCTCGGTCTAACCCTTACTTTTTGAAACAGGTTCATTGTGAACATTGTGCTCACTGATTTAGCTAAAGCAGCTGGACAGCAAGCCCTGTGGATCCTCCTGTTTCCACTCCATACCCCCCCATAGGTATTACAAACAAGTGGCCTCAAATCTAGCTGTTTAAAAACATGGGTGCTGAGGACTGAACTCAGTCAGGTCCTTATGATTTTGAGGGAAGCACTTTACTGACTGAGCCAGTTTTCCCCGGCTCTGTTTCTTCTTCTTATCATTCCTTACAATGAGGTGACTGTCTTAGCTGCTTTTCTATTGATGTGATGAGACACCACGACCATGACAATTTACAGACGAATGCACTGGGGGCTTACAGTTAGGGTTAGAGTCCAGGAGCATCATGGTGGGAGCATGAGAGCAGGCATGAGGCTGCAGCAGCAGCTAAGAGCTTACATTCCTGTCTTCAAGCAGGACACAGAAAGCTAACTGTGAATGGCTTTGGCCCTTGAAACTTCAACGCCCACCTGTAGTGACATACTTCCTCTAACAAGGCCACACCTCTTTATCTTTCTCACATAGTTCCAGCAGCTTGGGGTTAGGTATTCAACCGATGGGGATCATTCTCATTCAAACCACTAAAATTAGAAAAATATATTCAAACTTTTCTTCAATAAACATGACATGTGTTTTACTTTCTGGTCTATAATCCCTCCAGAGGTTATTTTTATGTAAAGAATGAGGAAGGAGTTCAAAGTATTTTTCTCCTCCTTTCACTCCTGACTGGAATGTTCTGTTGGCTCCTGCATGTGTGATAAGTGGCCTTGTTTGGCTGCTGTTCTCTATTTACAACATTCCTCTTGACATCCCGGGACCAGGAGGTTACTTGGATTTTAGAATTTTTCAGTATTGAAAAATCCATCATCTGAAAATTCAGAATTCAAAGACTCCAGACACTGGAATTTTTTGAACAACATCATATTGGTGTTAAAAAATTTCAGAAACTGGCCAGGTATGGTGATTCATCCATATACTCCCAGAATTCAAGAGGATGAAGCAAGAGAACTTCAAGCTTGAGGCAAGCCTGGGCTACATAGTGAGGCTCAGACTCAAAAAACAAAAGTGTTCACAGATAGAATTCTGGGTTAGGTATGCTCACTTGGTACCAAGTCATGAGTTTGAGAGCGAAAAATTAGTACAGCTTTGTAATGTGGCTAAAAATCCCCATTTCCTTACCCATTTCATTTTCTTGGTCTTATGAGTGTTGACTCTTCTGTCTAAATACTGAAAACCTGCCCAAATCCTCCCAGGACTTTGCATAGCATCACATCAATTTTGTAAATAAACCCTACCATACCCTATTAAGTATATTTCTTACATTATGTAGGCTTGTATTTAAAAACTTTAACAGAAGCTTGCTTAAATTTTACAGATGTGTTTGGTGGGTTACTTCTTATGTGATGGGTGGGCTACTTCTTACAGTTGTTCACTTTGTTGTCTGTGTAGATAATTTGCCTCTCTCTACAGCTGTGACTATGATTGCTGTAGAGAATAGCTGTTGGCTCCAGCATTCTGACTGAACTTTCCTATTAATCTTGGTACCTTGGTGATTCTCTGCTAATGGTCACATAACTGTAAAATATGACAATTTGCTAAACTGCCTTTTAATTTTATTCCACATTATTTTTTTTTTGTAATCAATAAGAGGTATACTCAATAAGAGGTATCCTTGTCTAGCTTAGAACCTGGAAGGAGACCTTACTGAGACCTGCCTGGGTCTCTCTCTCTCTCTCTCTCTCTCTCTCTCTCTCTCTCTCTCACCCCCCCCCCCACACCCACATTTTTCCTCTTCCTTCATTTTCTTCAAATATCTTACATTCCTACTGTGGATTTAGTGGACAGCCTTTCCTTAGTTAAAGGATAGTATCTTCTTTTTCTTACTTGTTAAAAATGTTCGCAAAGCAAATTATTTTTAACCTAATTTATAGATACAATATTCTAGGAAGTATGCAATTTCTTTTTGTTTTTAGTTAAAACAAGGAATAAAATTATAACAGTGACAAAGGAAGCCATAGGAGAGAGCTCCTCATCCCTTCAATACAAGGCTAACTGTATGGCACAGAGACTCTCCAAGTAAAAATCCCAGTCTCAGGAACAGACCTTTGGCCAGGCGTTGGTGATGCATGCCTTTAATCCCAGCACTGGGGAGGCAGAGGCAGGCGGAGCTCTGTGAGTTCGAGGCCAGCCTGGTCTACAGAGCGAGTGCCAGGATAGGTTCCAAAGCTACACAGAGAAACCCTGACTCGAAAGAAAAAAACAAACAAACAAAAACAAACAAACAACCCCCCCCCCCAAAAAAAATCCAGACCTTTGACTGGCTGATTGTTTATGATATATAAAGTAAAGAAACTTATTCCTCGGTCACTCTAATAGCCTTGCTAGTCACTAACATGTACCACTTTTCCTCATCTGTCACCAAGCTCTAACAGAAGAGTGGATAATCAGCTTATGTATCAAGATTATAGAAGAGAACTTTTGTACAAAAGCTTGTCAAGTTCCTTCCATTTGAGATGTCCCTGGACCTTATGCTTCCTGTCACAAATCCAGGGAGGAAAAAGTTGTTATTGTTTGATGCAGCTTTAGGCAATAAAACATGAACCACAGAACTCAACAAAACCCACGTGGAGTTTATTGGGAAAGGGAGTGAAGGGAGGGGTAGGTGTTGTCGGACCAGGAGAGGAAATTGAAAGCGAGAGAACCGGCTGGAGGCCCTTGCTTAAAAGGGAAAGCTTGCACACGCATACAGAGTCCTTACGCAGCCACTTAAGGCATAAGTAACGCAGGGCCCTTTGAACTGTCTAAGCATCTGCCTGAATGCTGATGTGCATACCCTGCCAGTTGTCAGGGGGCAGGGCCAGCATAATGCCAGGATATCAAACAAAGTGATCTTCACATTCCAGGTGGACTTTACTTAGTTTGGAAAGTATTGCAAAGCATCGCAGAAAATGAGTTCAAACAGCAAAACAAAAATTGGATGGAATGATGATGGCACATACTGGGTTCTTAAAAGCAGATGATGCAACTAAGTTGGCTATAGCTATCTGCTTAGTCGGATAATAGTGACTCAAACATAAACTACAGAAACATGGAAGTATTCAGTCAGACCCTGTTTTTTGAAACAGGGTCTCATGAAGCCAAGGCTGGGGTAAAACTCATTATGTAGCCAAGGCTAGCCCCCAGATTCTGATCTTCTTGTTCCATTTATCATGTGGTGGACTACAGGCATATGACACCATTCCTAGCTCATTCTAAAGTCAGGTAGCATAAGGAGACTTCAGCTTTAAACACCCAAGAAAAGGCTAGATGGGATCCTTACCTCGTATTTTCCTCTCTTCTCCAGAGGCTCTGCTTCTTCAGCCTTCACTTCTTGCCCTCGAAGCTCCTCGAGAATGAGGACTGTCTCCCAGTTACTATAGTGATGAGCTGGGAAAATGTCTGAGTGCATGCTGTCACCAAAGTAAACGACCTGTGATTCAGACAGAGAACTCTGGATGAGTCATGGGCATGAGACTGGTGGCCACTGCACAGAAAATGAAAAAAAAAAATGCCAACAGAGGAGGAGAACTAAAAGTGGCATAAGCGACTTAAACATCCATAAATAATTTCATGGATGACCAATTATCTGTCCTATTAGATTCATAGGTTTGTGGAAGGAGGTAGAAGAAACATTTTTATTTGATTTTCCTAATGAAGAAGTGAGCCTGTATGTTTTCATGTTTATAATTAAATCTGCCTCTAAAAATGAAAACTGATAACTTATAGGGATTACTTATTATTAAGAACACATACCATTGTGGTGATACATTATTTATGATATATTAAAGCTTGCCTGAGGATTCAGAAAAGCAAAGCCAGCCTCAAGCTATAAAGGTCAGGCAGTGGTGATATACACTTTAATCCCAGCAACCAGAAACTAGGAGGTGGTGGTACACACCTTTAATCCTAGGACTGAGGATTAAGAGGATCTGTGAGTCAATGGCCACCCAGATCTACACAAGATTGACCCAGTCCTAAAGAGAAACAGCTCACACAAAGATGATCTCAGCACCTTGGATCACACACCTTTAATCCCAGCACTAGAAGGGTATAAAAGTTAGGAACAGGGTCTTCAGTAGTCAGTATCAGGCATTCATTCTCCAGCCACATTGAGTATAGGAAGACAATGAAGTCTCAGGATTCTCCAGCTACGCGAGGAGAGGTTACAGGATGAGGTTTGGTGGAGTCAGGATCACCTTCCATTCTGAGGTAGAGTAAGAGCTAGTGACCAGCTTTGCTTTTCTGATCTTCAGCTTGAAGTTTGAACCTCAATATCAGTCTCTGGATCTTTTATTTTTCCTGTTACACACCCTGAGAGCTCACTCTGGATCTGCTGAAACAGAACTCATGAATGTATAGCTCCAGCATGTAAAGTCTGCTGATCCAGACCACATCTCTCAATTCACAAAAGAGTTATGAGGTTAAGGGGTAAGAACCGAGGCTCCTCCCTTATCCAGGTCTGGTGTCCAGTGAACCCCCGACCAGTTCTCAGGAGGCTAAGGAAGCAGGTACCAACGGACCAGGGCTCAGCTACCCAGTGATCTCTCCTGCTCTTTGGGCTTATGGTATACATCATGCAGAGGAAAGGATTTTGAGTAAACACATACCAATGTCCAACTTTGACAATGTGACCAAGATGCAAGCAATACTTTAAGGGAAAGCTGGTAAGCCACTGTCATTTCAGTCACTGCTTACTTTCCATATAAAATAGTCTTTGATTATTAAAGCACCATGTTTCAGGCATCCCATGTCTGAATTATGTACTTCCTAAATCTGTGGCCTCTTTGGAATTCTTGTTTTTCTCTGTCACAGAAAAAGACCAAGTATCTACCTAAAGTCAGAAGGAGAAGGAGGAAGAAGAGGAAGAAGAGGAGGAGGAGGAGGAGGAGGAGGAGGAAGAGGAGGAGGAAGAGAGATACAGCAGGTTCTCAGATGCATATAACCCACCAAGATACTGAATCGTAACGATTTACAGACACGGTTTTGTTCACAACCATTTGTGTCTGCAGGCGGACATCAAAGACTCTGCCTCAATCAGAAATTACCTTGGGTTCAGGCTTGTTAGTCATTTTCTTCAGAAGCTCATAGAGGTGGGCAGCATTGCCTTGGGAGTACCAGCCAGGTTTATCCAGAGAGGGCAGCTCCTCCTGCTCCTCATCGTTCTCTGCAAACATGGTGGACAACCACTCTTTAGTTGGACTACACTCAGGGCCATATATAGACCATGTACAGAAGGAAATCATGTGGGAAGATGCATGCACTTAGTAAGCTCTGTGTTTGTGTGTATGTGTGTTCACATGTATGTATTCATATATATATATATACATATATGTATATACACATATTTATGTATATATATGCATGGTATGTATATATGTATATATATGCATGGTGCATGCATGTATGGTGCACATTTGGAGATCAGAGAACAAATTTCAGGAGTTGGCTCTGTCCTTCAACTCTAGGGTTCTATGGATTAAACTCAGGTTGTTGGGTCCTCTGTCTTGGCAGGAAGTACCCTTACCTGCTGAGCCATCTTGCTACCCTGCTTCTGCTTAATAAAATGGTTCACATAGTGAACATCATAATGGAAACCCAATTAAATCCTGTCTTTTGGGAGAGGAAACAGACTGTTATCAGTGACCTGCTAAATCCAGGCTTAAAATTTGCATCCTGTTCTAGCACTGAGAGGCGGAGGTGGACATGGGTCCCACCCCTACCAAAGAAGCTATCTGCAACTCCTACCTGCTTGCAAAGGAAAAAATGGATACAGGCTGGGAGTTGAAGATAATCTGCCTGTTTAATAATGTTTAAAGAAAAAGATGATATGTCATCAAAGACTCCGGAAGCCATTAGAACAGTTTTGGAAACTACATGAGAGGAAGAAGCCCACTTTCCCAGGAATGCAATGACTTTAGATTTCAAAACAGTTGACTTGGTCTTTCCTGTGGTTTTTGTTACCTTTGGCCTCTTTGCTGTTTCAAGAATAGTTTCAATGAGACACAGCTACATGCTATATACAAAGGGCCTTCTTTTAGAGAATGAATACCAAATTGTCATCGTCTCTACTGGGATCTGAGAAGGATAACTGAGGGGTTCCTAAAGCTTAAGTTTTGTTAGCTTTGCTATAAAATTAACCTTGGAACAGGACAAGAGCTTATACAGAAGGGGAAAAGCTATGTAAGTCAGGTATTAAAACCACATCTCTAATACTGCGAAATACCTTAAGCTAAAATTTAATTTCTATATGTAAAAGTCATAAGCAGGCTCCCCAGATGTGTTCTCAGCTTGTAATACAAATCACCTCATATGTGTATTGGTAGACTAAATGATGGTCACTGCAGCTAAATGGGAAGTAATTTATTAACTTTACAATGACAAATGAAATTTACATCACTCTAACATGAGGAAAATGTGTATCCAATCTAAACTATTTTGGACAATTCTGAAAGTACAAGTATAGATGATTAAAGCTGCATATACAACTGGCAGCTTATGGTCAAGGACTCTTGCTGTCATTCTAGAATCTCTTTTTCGAATTTTTCTGCACAATCCAATGAAAATCCTACTTTCCAAAGAACAGCTTGAAGATCAGACCATCTAGCAGCCAAACATTAAACCCTAAGAAGATTTAACCTGTCTCTTGGAGATGTATACCAGAGTGATCACTTCTCTCATCTATTTTTATTTAGTATGTCTTACTTTGTATATAATGTAGGCTTGTGGACAAGTGGTAAATACAGTGGTATTTTTGGAAGTGGACTTATATTTGACATGTAAATACTCACTTCTCAAAGTCAGTGGAAATCTTTCTGGTGCTTATGAAGTACAAAAAGTCTATAGAATTATGGTTTCTGAAATGTTGCATGCCATGTACATCGCTCAGTGGTAGAGTACTTGCTCAGCATGGATAAGGTTCTGGATTGATTTCTTGCCCAGAAAAAAATTTCCTGATTCAAATGGTGAGACCCAGTCATCTAAAAAATGTGAGATAAGAGAGCAATTGATTTCTGCTTCCATTTCAGATTCTAATTCATTCCAAGGGTATGAAAAATCTATTTGTAGCCTTTTCCTTGTAAAAGTGGAGGATTGGGATATGTATTTATAAAAGTAGCAGGATAAAATTATAGTTAGTATGTATCAAATGTTTTTAATAAGCAAGTCTGCAGAATACCATGAGGATTGTGCTTATATTTGAAAGGTAGAGGTCATGATGGATGTGTAGTCAGCCTGCAAAGACTCATATTTCCTGAACCTCCCCTTCTCCTTTGCACTGAATAGCCAGCCAATTATGGCAGATTATGAAATCAATCTCCAGCCAATGGGATGAGATACAGTCACTGCCCAGGCAAGGATAAAGGATGGGACCCATCCCAAGAGCTACCCAAGTGCTTGTTAGCCTGCTTTGAGCCATAACATACCCCTTTTACATAGATATTTTATCTTGATCATGTGTTCCTTTGTGTAACACTGAGATTACCCTTCCTCTATCTCTATAATACTAAGTGATGGATTATGATTTTAAACCTAGTTGGAAGTCTCACCGTTTCTAGGATTCCTTCCTATATGTGAGCCTTGATGAAGTTCCTACTGAGTTTCATATAACTTTGCCACAATGTGAGCTAGAACCCTTCTACATCCATTGTACATTTTCATAAGTCTATGTATATTTCTTCTTGCCATGAAGGGGAATGAAAAAGTTCAAGCAAAATATCTATTAAATGCTAATTTGTGTTGGAAGTAATGATAGAACAACTATCCTACTAATGGCTCCATTTCTAAAGTGACATGGCTATTGCCTTTGAATCCTTAGCAGCTGTGGGTATCATTAAGAGACAGGAGACGTGCAGAAGATTGGGTCCATTAACTGTCCTTTTTCTGGGGGAGGGGCTCATGTAGTCCTACCCCTTCCTGAGTATAGGTAGTTAGCTATTTAACTGATGAAATAATTTTTTTCTTTTAGTGGTTTACTTACAGTAGGGCTCCTTTCTATAAGTACTCCTAATTAGCTCACTAAATCATTGCTACAATTATTTCTTCATTTCTGTTGCCATCCTGACTAGAGTAAGTAGATTTTTACTTATGTGTTCTCACAAAAAGTTCACAAAACAGGGGGTATACCGGGAAAACTATACTATTAAAGAAAACAAACAGCTTGCTAGTAAGTTGGAGCAAATTCAAAAGAACAGAAACAGGAAGAGGGCCTGGGGAGATGGCTTACTATAAAAAATGCTTCCTGAAGGACCTTACTTGGGTCCCCAGAGCCCACACAAGGCCCAATGTGGTAAGCACATATCTGCAATCCCACTGTGCTTAAGGAACTGTAACTGTTATGACAGATTCAGTCACTTTCATTCATTAATGTTGCAATGTTATGAGCACAGTGCTAAGGACAGCTTTCTAAACACAGCTGCTTCCCACAAGAGGCACATCTCAGTGGGAGACAAACCTCAGCAGGCAAGGCCCCTATGATGCTGAGGAGGGAACTGCTAAGGAGCTCCAGGGAAGGACCAGAAAGGTGTGACCTGTGAGTGCCTCAAAGCAGGGGTAGGGAGTCACCAGGTAGAGGAGGGGATGCTTCCCCTGTATTGCCTTATCTCTGAGAGTGTCACCTTCTGAGCTTAGAAAGGCTTCACAGTGCCCAATGAACCAGTCTCCATTTTAACAAGAGCCATAGGTGGTTCTATATATACATTAGTCTCAGAAGCAGTGAGAGAGAGCAGCCAGGACAAAAACCTGGATGAGGGGTAAAAGGCCATGTTTTCAGCAGAGATACTGTGATCAGTACTCATTAGGCAAGGGAAGGAAATCTTACTAGCCAAAGGATGCTTATATGGAGTGGGAGCCTTCATTGATTGTGTAACTGTGATTAATATATACTGTGCCTGCCAATAATTGAGAAACTGGAAAGACACTGCCCTGCTTAACAGCAGACAACAAATTGATGCTAATGTAAATGAAAAGCATTAGAAGAGAGGTGGAAGAGTTAGAAAGAGAGCAGCAGGGAGAGAGATTACATAAGAATTGCGCAGCGATGGGACAGGGTGAAGTTAAGGGGCTCTGGTAATTTCATGGTTAAGTCGGCATGGCAACCACACAAGGTTATTTGATTCATCAGCATGCTTGGTTGTCTTTGTTTTCTAGGTGGAAGGAAAACAAATGTTTAAACCACCCAGTGCTGTGCAGAAGAAAAATATACGTGAGAGTCAGGAAAGGAGACTCAGCTAGGGAAAGATGGCGGAGTCCATATGTTGACAAGAGCAGAGGCCGAGAGACCAGAGATGTATGTTGAATTTACGTAATGGGGCGGGGAGTGAGTTGGCAGTGCAGTGGTCACACAGGAACTGAGTCCGTCTGAAATTTATTATCTTGTAAGGCAGAGATCCTCCTTCTCCCCCAAACTTGGGCACTGGTAAGGGCTGGGGTCTCCCTTTGCATAGTGTGGGGAAAAGGATGCAGGGAGAATGCAGATTCTGCCCACGTGATGCTTCTCGCCCCCACACTTTTCTTAAGGTCAGCAGGGATCGGGCTGAAGGAGTTGCTGGACCCCCATTGGCCACAGCAGCATCAGCTCTTCTTAAGTTACCATGACAACCACTGACGTCAAGCACATGCCACACACTGAATACAGAGATTGTCTCCTGGGATTTTCTATTTCAGCAAGGTCACTGTCTTCATTTTATTTCTCTGCCTTTAACTGTTTGGAACAAAGATTTAATTTACTTTTGTCTATTACAGCAGAGGCCTGATCTGATGGGCGTCATTAACATGGAGTGTGGTTTAAGGGTTGCGCAAAGCTGATGTGGGCTGGAGCTCGGTGACTGAGTACAGTGACTCAAGAATACTGCAGTGCTGCGTCAAATCACATGAAAGAAAATGAGGGCAGAGGTAGGAAGATAGTGGCAAGCGGAAGGACACGTGTAGAGCACGGTGACAGAGAATGACTGCGTTTTCATTATTTTCATAAGATCTGTGACTCGCAAAATGCCTAAGAAATTATGGACTGGCTAAGTGGCAGGGGGCTGATGAGCTCCTATGAGCACCCCAGGTTTCCAGACCTCCTCTGGGGTGTGGAAACTGTAAAAGACAAGCTACATCTCTGTACTTTAGAGAACAAGAAATTGGAACCCATCAATGAGTAAGTGACAGCAAAAGCATCCACAG